GGACGTGAGCACTCCCAGCCTGCTCCCCCATGTCCTGTGGCGAGGACAGCAGCCCCCTTTTAATGGGGACCAGGGAACGGCCCCTCCCCCAGCTGGCCAGGGGGTTCTCCGCTCTGCCTGTCCGGCTACGTTGGTAAACGATCTTCTGGGCAGTGCAGGGAACCTTCCTCATGTGGCTTTCCTCGCCCTCTTCTTTGTCATCATGTGAGCACTCCCAGCCTGCTCCCCCATGTCCTGTGGCGAGGACAGCAGCCCCCTTTTAATGGGGACCAGGGAACGGCCCCTCCCCCAGCTGGCCAGGGGGTTCTCCGCTCTGCCTGTCCGGCTACGTTGGTAAACGATCTTCTGGGCAGTGCAGGGAACCTTCCTCATGTGGCTTTCCTCGCCCTCTTCTTTGTCATCATGTGGGAAGGTTGCATCCTTCCCAACCATCTTCCCCTTCGCCCCAAGGCGGGAGAGCTCCACACACTCTAGTGCCCTGTATGTGTGGCACTGTGCTGTGTGCTCTGGCTTGGAGTATCGCTGGTAATCCAGTCTCATCACTGTGTTCCTTTCCCCGCCTCTGTGCTCCTGTTGGTGACTGATAGCAAGTGAATTAGCCCTGTTTTAAGTTAAAACATCTCAATGAATGGTTCAGGGAATCTCCAAAGTCTTTGAGCAGACTCAGTTTTTGTGCATCTACCTCAAAATAAACAATCTCCAGCTCTTCTAGAATGCCAGTATTATTTTAGCTCAGATCAGGGAGCATTCAGATGTGCACGCTTTATTTCTGTTGTGCGTACCCATTCTTTAGAGGGCAGGCAACTGGGAGTTAAGGCTCCTGGTTTCTGATCTCAGCTTTGCTGCCCATGCTGTTAGACTGACTCTCACAAGTGAAGTGACTTGTCTCAAGATTCCTCATTTAAAAAATTAGATACTGCTGACTTGTTTCACGCAAGTATGGTGATTAAAGAAAAAAAACAGTGTGGTGCTTTGGAGAGAAAGTGCTATATAAACAGTTGTTTTTCTCCAGCATCTAGCCTAGAAATAAGACCTGGAGTGGCTCTTTTTTCAAAATAAAATTCGACTTGGATGGCAGTCCCATCAATCTGTCAGTGATGGTTTCCTCAAGAGGGATTGTTGCCATTTATAATGTCGCTTCTCTGTGCATCATAGGCAAATACACACTATTAAAAGAGGTTGTATTAGGTTTGATTATCTTCTGGATACTTCATGTAACACCAGTGCCTTTTTAGGGAGGATAATAGTATGGTGAGTACACAAGACGGAAGGGTTACCAACAAAAACTGAGCAGCAGGTGTAAACCATAAGTTCTTCACACAATGCTCAGTCAATCATGCATCATAATCAGGACTCGTGCCTCCCATTTTCCGTCTAACCATTAGATTGTGCTGCTTCCCTTGCTGACCTGTCAAAGGTACACACACAATGGTGGAGAGGCATGTCTCACATTTATTTTCATTCTGGATACATTTTTTTATCCACCAACAGAAAAAGGTGTCTATGTGGGTTTTAACCTTTGCCAGTGTGCAAATGAGTTTTATAACTAAGGTAAGAATTGTCCGCCCAAAATGTTACATGTGTACTAGGTTGCTTCTCAGAAAGAAGTAGTTGGGGTGGTTGTGCAGAGGGGCGAGGGGCACGCTTGTCTTATGTGCACAATTTTCAGTTGCAGAACTTGGTATAATTTTCCACTCATGTATGAGAGCGCTTAACTTATTTCTAGGGCTGTAATTTTTTACAGTGCAAATATTTATATTAAACTGAGACAGTATTTTTCAATTATCCCTAAAGCATATTCTGTAATGCAGTCACTTTATCCAGAAAGTGGAACTTACAAATGTTAGAATTATGTATTCCCCCCCTCCCCCCAAAAAAAAACCCGTATTCAAAAATAAAACAGTGTGAAACTTTAGAGCCTAAAAGTCCACTCAGTCCTACTTCTTGTTCAGCCAATCACTTAGACAAATAAACTTGTTTACAATTTGCAGGAGATAATGCTGCCCACTTGTTGTTTATAATGTTACCTGAAAGTGAGAACAGCCCTGTCTTTCCCTGTCCATTTTATGAACATTGGCTTATGAATATAAATGTGCATAACTTGGGGATGCTTTGAACAAAATGCTTCATGTAGCTTATCAGTTTTAATTTTGCAATCTTCTGGATCTGTATGTTTTATTTTGGTGAATGCATCGTTCTTGTATTAGACCATCGTAGGGTAGTGGTGGTTGAAGACTTTCTTCTGAGCAGGATAAAGTTAACCATCTGTCGCTCTGACATCTCATCTCAGGAGGTATGCTGCCTGCCAGGGGCCCGTATCTGAGACATTACAGAGGCATTGTCGAGAATTATCTGGCCCTCTGACTACTACCCCATGCTACTCATCCATGTGGGCACTAATGTTACTGTAAGGTGTGACACTGAGCAGATCAAGAGTGACTACAAGGTT